GCCCAGTAAGAAGCCATTCAGCCCATAGTCTCTGTGCCAACTCTCTTCAAGAGCAACTTGTCTAGTCCCGCTCGACTGCTTTTACCTGTAGTCCTACACTTATCTTCCTTTCCAGATAATCATTCAATTCTCTTTTGAAGGTCTCAATTTAAGTTTGTCTGCTATGCTCTCAAGTGGCGAAAGTTTGGAAAGTGGAAATCTTGTGTAAAGCTCTATATACTTTTGAGCTTTAAGTTCAGGTGCAGTATGAATATTGTGCTTTAGATACTGTGTCTTGTATTTGGCCTTTGCTGTCCTTGTCCTGCCAGCATTTGATACTTATCTGGAATGCAGGAATAGTTAATTTTTCCCTCAGCGCTGACATTCTTGATAAAGAAACAATACAGATGTCATATTCTGCATGGATTTATTCAACTGGTTCTCATATAAACTACAATTTGCCAACAAATAAAATACTGGACAGTCTGTGGCATGTGTTTTTTTTTGTTTGAATATTAACAACACACTGATATTTGTGTTTTCCAGGAACCAAATTCAACAGAGAGCAGCACCCATCATGTTAGAGGACAGTCCCACCATCGTAGGAAGCAAGATCGAAATCCTTTCCGAATACGGAGTGAGAATCCAAAGCCATTCCCCTGGAAAGCTGCCACTGCTAATAGTAATGAAGAAGAGACTGAGTCTGCAACAGATGAGAAGGATAATGAGGATGGTGGTGAAATGTTGAAGTCAAATAGTTTACCAGTTACAGATAAGCAAATAGTGAAGTCGGCTCCTGATGTGTTTGAGATCAAGGACAAGTCATGTGGTGAGGCTGGAAAACCTGTTATTAAAGATTCTGAAGGAACCCGGCATGAAGTCTCTCATGGCCTTGCATGTGCTACTAGCACAGGAAGATCTGATTCTTCCAAAAAGAAGGGTCACAATTTACAATATTTAAAACCATCTGGTCTCCTGGTAACTGAAAAAGAAAATTTGTCAGAACTATCCCCTGGCACAGAGAAAGATCAGGTGCAGTTAGGAACTGAGAAAAAGCATGTTCATGAAGAATTATCTAAGCATTCACCACATCATGGGAATACTGCAATCACCAGCAGTGTGCATCTGAAGGGGCAACAGCAAAGGGACACACAATCTTCAAGCAAGAATGGTAAATTTAGTTGTGAAAATGAAAAATCAAATAGCACTCAGAAATGCTGTACAGTCAGTATCCCCCAACAAACCAAATCAAGAGACGCTCCGAAAAACTCCTCAGAACAGACACAAGGAACCAAAGCTGAATACAGTGCTACTGCAGACTGTTCAGTTCTGCATACACACAGTTCTGACTCAAATAATGAAGCAAATCAGGAGCTGAAACCATATGAGCAAATTCATGCAGCCTCACCTGTCTGTATTGGAGCAGAAAATAGCTGCTCCAAATTAGAACAAAGTACACTTACCTGTCAGTCAGTGGATTTTAAGCAGACAGCAGCTACAGAAAAAACACATGTAAGTAATGGACAGAGAACGATCATAGCCTTTCCTGGTTTTGAGTATAAATCAACATCCATGGCGACCAAGGAAACTGTGGCACTACACAACCATCTGACTGCTCAACTTAAACAGAAAAAGGTAAAAAGCACAAGTAGCGATAACAAAACAACAGATTTCTAATTTCTATCATCCTTTTGGGATGGAAGTACCATTGCCATTCCTAATTGTCCTTTAAAGAGGTGATGGGGCTTTTGAATTGTGTCAGTCCGTGAGAGGAAGATGCTGGGTAGGGAACTAACAGGATTAAAACTTTTAAAGTCAGTTCTGCTCAGACCTTTGAGTATAGGAGTTAGGACGTCATGTTGATGTTGTACAGGGCAATGGTGAGGCTTCTTCTGGAATACTGTGGGCATGTTCTGTTTGCCCTGTTATAAGAATGATATTCTTCAATTGGAGAGGGTTCAGAAAAGATTTATCAGGATGTTGCTGGGATTGGAGTGTTTGAATTATAAAAATAGGCTGGGACTTTTATCAGTGGAGCGTAGGAATTTAGGGGTGACCTTTTTAGAAGTTTATAAATTCATGAAGGACATGCATGAGTTGACTAGCAAAGGCCTTTTCCACAAGGTGGGCGAGTTCAAAACTAAAGGGCATATTTCAAGGTGAGAGGCAAAAGATTTTAAAAAGCACATGTGGAGTTAGTGTGAGGCATGAACTGCCAGAGGATGCAGGTGCAGTTAACATGTTTAAGAGATTTGGAAAAGTACATGAATAAGAAATTTTGGAGGGATATAGGCCAAATGCAGGCAAGTTTAGTTTAGGAATTTGGACTAGTTGGACTGAAGGGGCTGTTTCCAAGCTGTAAGGCTCTAGAAGATTAAAGAACAGCAATATATGTCCAATCTGGATGGTGTATGACTTGATGGTGACAGTGCTTCCCTGATTTGATGCCCTTGACCTTTTAGATGATGAAAATAGCAGTATTGGAACGTGCTGCTGCAAAAGCCTTGGTGATTTGCTACAGTACTTCCTGTAGATCAATAATTTGAGAAACTTGCTAAGAAATATATGAATTAAGTACACAATCAATGAGTATGTTGTGATGCTGGGAACAGAGTTTGCATTCAAATTTCATCTGTTGTTTTATTGAGGTTAATGTAGGAATCCACTTTTGTAAAAAGATGTTACTGTTCTTCTAAACCAATCTGCCACATAATCATTACATTAAAAGAGTCTGGTTAATCTAATTTTTTGAAATTGTATGTTTGAAAACCAAGTTATTCCGAATCTGTACTTTATTTCCCATAAGAACCTAGGCAAAGTCTGAAAATTTGTGTTCTACGATAATTATATGAATATACATTTCATGGTCATCATGAAGCATGTGAAAATCTTATTGTGTACTGAGGAAGCTTGGAAGATTCAAGTTTATATTAATCCTATTCACTTTTATACTTCTAGTCTGTATTCGGGAAATTTCAAAGCAATTTCCTGAATTCTTAAGGTGCAACAGATGAATATTGTAAAAATATACATTTTTTTTTGGTAACTCGCATTTCCTGTCATTTTCTGTTTATCATATCATTGATCTGACCAGCATTACATTTTGCTTTTCGAACAGTGAGGTAAATTGGGATGTGGAAAGTATCTCTAGCTGGCTTTTAATGCCATTTCGTGATTGGCCAGCATAAATGGAATGTAAGGTTATAAATGTGTCAGTATCAAGTTTGTTCTGACAAAAGCAGCATGCTGTGGATGTTGAAAATCTGAAAAAATTGGAATGCTGGAGAAACTTAGCAGGTCTGGCAGCATCTATGGAGAGACAGTTAAAAGTTTTGAGTCCAAATTGACTTCTTCTGAACTAGTTAATTTCATCTGTTTCAAATACGTAGTTCTTTATACTGCTCCAATATTACTTTATCACATAGTGAATTATCAAAAAGACCTATTAAGAAATTCACAAATAGTTTGTTACATTCATGACTGAACAGCAGGAGCAAAAATGCCATGTTTAATTTGGGGAGGTAAAGTAAGGGACAACAGTACTTGGAAGTCATATTGTTTTCAAGTCTACTTTTTTTTTCAGAATACTCTGAGAACGGTTAATGTTGCTGCCCTCCCTGATAAAGGCCAGAGGTTAATAAATCAAGTTAAGGACTTGGAGGATGCTCTTAGTGCACTTTGCCTGACTCCAACAGATCAAAATGAGGAAGGTACTGTGTTGCACTTAGAATTAACAAAACACTTTCTTGTATGGGGTGAGTGGGATATTTTCAAAGTTGTAGGGCATTTTGATAGTGTTAACTTAAATCTCATCCTATAAATGAACTTTACTCACTGAAACTTCGCTTTTTTTTTAAAAAAAAGCCCATTCAGCCCCTTGAGCATGCTCAATTATCCAATTAGATTGTAGCTGATTTGAATCTCAATTCCATGTGTCCGCTTGGTTCCATATGCTGTAGGATTCCTGAATTGCAGAAATTTATCCATTTTAATTTGTTAAATTTTCAGTGGGTCTTGCCTCATGGGCCTTTTGAGGATGAGGATTCTAGATTTTCACTATCTCTCTTCTTTGAAGAAATGCTTCCTGACAGCTCAAATTTGAAATGTGCATGTTCTTATCCATGCTTTTCCAAGTAGACAGCAAATTTTGCATTTACTTCATGGATTGTAAATTTGCACTCCAGTAGATCAGAGACTGTTTAGCAGCAGCAGTTTGTCAGTCAAGATACTGTGGTATAGAATTGTACAATATGAATTGCTATATAATTTATAAGTCTAACCTTAATAAAGTCGTCGAAGTCAAGTACTTCATAGAAGCCAGGGTTTTTATTTATGCAAACAGGATTGGTAATGGTTTATCTCCATTCACATTGTACTGACAGTTGAGCAATAAAGGACAGTTGAAGCTCAAACTCAACAAAGTCTTTCTCTGTAGGCGATGAAGCAAAGAACAGTCAGATCAACCCCTTTGACAAAAGTGGCACCGTCTTACAAACTAAGCTTGTACCCCATCAGGATCCTCAATCTGATGCAAGAGCTTCACATTTCAATTATGATTCTTCTCTGGGGTCAAGTCAACTTTATAGCCATCTGTATGGAGGTAAAATTTTATAAAATAGTGTTTTGTTTTTCTTAGAAAAATGCTGCAGTCACGGAATGTTACAGCACGAGAACAAGCCATTGGACATATTTTCTCTGTGAAAACCTTGCACATTCCTGGTCTGCTGCTACTTAGGTACCTGTCTTGTTTTGCCTGGTATGGGTTGAATAAGTTTGTTGCATAATTCATCCTGTCCTCTATAAGTGTTGTCTTTGTGTGGCGTGAAGGTCAACCTTGTTACATCTTTTATTGTTGGAGCTTGATACAGAGTTATATTAAATGAAGATAAAATTGTTCTTCATTATAAATATAGAAATTATACATTTTGGAGAGGTAGGGAGTGAGCAACACAGGAATGTAAATTACTTTTCTGTGGATACGAGGACTTGAGTTTGAATTTTGTTATCAAATACAGAATATGAACTGCTTTTAAGCTATCCTTTCTTGATATTCTGTATCCCACAAGGAGTATATCTCTCTATGCATGTTGTGAATTAACTAATTTTCACTATTTCAGCTCAGTTTCAGCAGCAGGGCCTATATGGAGGACGGATGACAGAGGAACGACTCCTTACTGTCAAGAACATAACCAGTGAGGCTATTGAACAACTCCACAGATCATTGGAGTCTTGCCCAAATGCATCTGAAGAGGCTGAAGATCCGCCATATCTAAAGGTAATTGAAAATGAAATGTAGTCCAGGACAATTTGCTAATTTGGTGCTGAATACACAAAGGGTAGGATATTCTGTAATATTGTGAATTTCTTAGTCATCTAGTTACAGTCCTTGTTTTATTTAAAGCTGCTCAGTATAGTTGGGATGAGAGAGGCCATTTCTCTCGATGGATCCAGATTTTCCTTTTAGTGTGTATAGTTTTCGTGCTAGATATATTAGCTGTCCCACCAGTGCTATGATGATGCATAACAAGGCTTTGTCTCTGAAATGTTTGTTATGCAACAACAGATTGGTAAATGGATGCTGAATTTTGATGAAGTAAGGTATAGCATACTTCTGCAATCTCTGTAGCTTTCTTCTATAAACTAACTTTCAAGCAGTTGTTTTGCTGGATTTCCAGCTAAAGAGCAGCTAACACTTCAGCCTTCACTCTCTAGCACACCCACACTCAGACTGACCAACTTTCTAGATGGAAATGTTTCCAAGTCCCAGGATCCTTGTTGCTTAGCAGCAGCGCTTATTTATTTTTCCTCTACCTTTTTTTAAACACACTTAGCTATTCACCTCCAGCTCTTGACTTCAAAGCTTGTAAAACCTCATTTTAAAAAAACACAAGTAAATGTATAGGTCTCCAGGTTCATCAATAGGAATTTTAAAGCCACATCTCCCCTCTTTGAAACACACAAGAAATGTAAAAACAAGTTTAACTTAATGCTACATGTTCTTCCTAAAATTACAAACTTCAAACTTAATTAAAAATCGACTCCAACTCTTGGCTTGTTACCATGAAAACAATCACGCTTGTATAATGAGTACTATTATGTAATTCTTGGATTAATAGGATGCGTGTGCCATGGGTTGAGAGTTTCTCTTTAATAAAAAAAATTGTGTCTCAAAAAGCAAATCTTGAAATGAAACAGTTAGAATTGATTTTGTTAAGTTGATTCCACCAAAAAAAATGTTGAAAGTACAATACAACTGGAGATGCCAACTTATCTTATTCAGTCTGAGTGTGGGTGTGCTAGAGAGTGAAGGTTGAAGTGTTAGCTGCTCTTTAGCTGGAAATCCAGCAAAACAACTGCTTGAAAGTTAGTTTATAGAACTCGTGTTTGCTTTGTATTTGGTGTCTCTGCGAGATACCAGCTAAAGAAAAATATGCAGTGATTGCACAGAAATTTGATGAAAAGCAACTGGCTGCAGGTGTACCAACCTGAGTAAGATCTTTGATGTGGCGATATGATAATTCTTCAGAGCTTTGGGGGTTTGAAAGGGTATTGCTGAGATAAAACGGGTAATGTAAGTGTGAAACACTTTCTAATGTTACGGAATATTTCCAACCTTGTCTAATATACTATAGTTCATGCTTCACTTTTGTGTAATAAGCATTTTATTCTTTATGCTAAAAATACACTGGCAGACATTTTTTTCCCCTGTAACAACAGACTCAATAGTTTTAAAAAGACAATTTTAAAAAAGATCTATGCTCCACCAAACCATGTTTACCAGATGTGATATGACTTGCCCAGTGTGAACATCAGCTGGAATCATAATTGTAATTACAGTGCAATACTAGCTTTATTGAACTTCAAACATCATCATTTGTGGTTATCAGTCCCCTTGCTGTCCAATAGAATTTGAGTTCAATCTCTGTTTACATTTGAACTGAAATGCAGTAAGAGTATTTTGACGTTCTAGTTATAGTTGATGTCTATAAAATTGTAAAGTAGACATTAAAAATTCATAGGCTGCAGCAGGTTTTCTCTTGTCTTCACATTTACTGGTCACATCTGCAAATTGATGTTCCACCTCCTGCAATCTTTGTTACCCAATATCAAATTGAATGATAGCATAACATGGAGACCTTTAACAGTAAGCCAAACGTCATCTAGCATCTCAGTTGATAAATTTATTCATAGTTTCACAAGGTGCCTTAAAAACGCAATCAAGACATAAATACTACAGGAGGTCTTTCAGGCAGCAAGTGTATGCACTATACCCTGGAGAGGACAGCTTGCAATTTTATATTACCATCTCACTAAAATATGTTACCAGACGCACACTCTGGATTTGTGCAATGTTTTTGCAATAGTCGAGCATGATGGATGTCATGTGGTGCAATGCATTTTAATGTGGATTGGTACTATTGTTATATATTCTCGCCACAACTGATACTGATACAGACAAAACATTTTAGTCAATGGAGCTGATATATCTATTTTCTTGCAGGTCTCAAACCATCAAACAGCAAATTCATAGGTCATTGGAATCATACAGCACAGAAAAGGGCCTTCGGCCAATTAAGTCTGTACTTCCAGAAGTGTACTACTCCCTCCAACTATTCCCACTTTCCTGCACTAAGCCCATAGCCTTAAATGTTATAAATTACTTGTCTCTGGTATAGGATAAAGTTACTGATCCTGTGCATAGAAGTCGATTAGACGCTCCTTTAATTGGTTGAGTTGCTTACTGTTCTTTCTGATAGTTGATTGCCTCTCTTCCTGCAAGTGTAACGAGTAAATCTTGTTAGTTAATTGGATCACATTTTGATGTCTCCTTTTGATGTCTCTATCTCTGAAGGCAGACTTAATTGATACAAGGTTGAGATACCATTTTGTTTTATCCAACATGAAATTGCATTGCACCACATCACACCCATCATGCTCAACTATTCCCATAACATTCCACAAATAGATAGTCTGCATGTAGTAGCTCATTCTAATGAGATGGTGGTATAAAATAGCAAACTGTCCTGATCAAGGTATAATGCATGCTCTTGCTGCGTAAGAGACTATCCATAGTGTTTCTAAATAAAAACCAAAAGAACTGCAGATGCTGTAAATCAGGAACAAACACAGAAGTTGCTGGAAATGCTCAGCATGTCTGGCAGCATCTGTGAAGAAAAAAAATCGGAGTTAACGTTTCAGGTCCGGTTCTGAGGAAGGGTCACCGGACCCCAAATATTAACTCTGATTTTTTTTTCTTCACAGATGCTGCCAGAGCTGCTGAGCTTTTCCAGTAACTTCTGTTTTTGTCCATGGTGTTTCTGTTTTGCTTTTGTTTTAAAGGCACCTTTTTATGAGGACACAAATTTTATTAATGGTGAGATGCTAGATGATTTTTTAAAAATTGGCCATGCATTGCATAATGTGGATTATAACAAAATCCTATCTTTTGACAAATAGAGGGAATTTCCAAATATGTTATTCACATTAATTTGCTATTTATCAGTTGTGGCTAGAATATATAGCAATAGTATTGTGTAAATGATCAAAGTTGCTTACTTTGCTACTTAACACCCCATGTTTCTTAAATATTTAATAACTTTGTTCAAATTCACAATGAAACATTAAGGCATAATGACGTTACATTATAATTATCATATCTTCCCTTATGTTATTTTCAAGGGAGGTAGAATGAGTTCCTATGGTTATAATCTGGTCACGGTGAACTTTGCTTCTGTTTAGTTTCTATATTTTGACAAATTTGAAAAAATTGCATAAATGTTTGAAATTTTCTGCATTAAAGACGTTCATTTTTATAGGTCCCACTGCTGGTTCATCAGAAACAAGCATTGGCATGGTTACTGTGGCGGGAGAAGCAAAAACCATCGGGTGGTATACTAGGTAAGAAGGAACCTTTTGTTTTAAAGAGTTAAAAAGGATGGCATGGTCATGGAAGAACAATAAGACCAGAGTCAAATTTGAAACAATACAAGGCACGAACTTGATACAGTACCATCTGTGGAATTGAAATGTTAGATCTTTATTAATTATTTGTGATTCACTTTCCCTATTATGAGTTAGACATCATTTCAGTATCAAGTCAATGTATATTGATAAGCATGGCAATTAATTTGTATTAAACAAGAATAAATCAAAAATAATAACTGGTAATGGCTCTTCGAATTCATTAATCACAAAGGATCAGAATCTATAATTGTCACTAGGACCAAATAAAAGTGTCTGGATTTGATGTCTTTGTAATAATCTGATTTGGAGTAACATAAAAATTATGAATTTAAATTGTTGACATTTATGCCTTTCTTTTAGCGGATGACATGGGTTTAGGGAAAACTCTAACAATGATTGCACTCATCTTGGCACAACGGTACAACAGGAAGGAAGAAACGGAGAAAAATCCAGATGAATGGATCTCAAAAACTGGTAAGTGTAAATAATTACAATGATTTCAATAACAGACAAAACCATGCACTGCGTATAACCATTGGGTTGGTTAACTTTCAAAGCAACTTTTTGCAGGTTTGAGATCTGAAGTGCTGCGCTGTTGAAATGCACTCTGTCTAATGGCATGCTTAATTGGTTATCCATATACCTGATTTAGGTGAAAATAAATGACCCCATGGCACTGTTGGTGCTCTGTCCAACACACTTGCCGTGACACTATCTTGATCTGTGTAACTACATGACATAAGAAGTTGACTGTCTGTTAAAAGTGATTTATTGAATGAGAAGTGCTTTTTTTTAATTCATTTTTGGATGTGGGTATCACTTACTAGCCCAATATTTTTGCCCATCCCTAATTGCCGTAGAGAGGCTGGTCGTGGTGAGCTGCTTTCTTGAACCACTGCAGTTTGTGGGTGTAGAGACACCCACAGAGCTATTAAAAAGGGATTTTCAGAATTTTGACCCCATGTCAGTGTGTGGTTTTGGTAGTGTTCCCATATGCCTACTGCCTTTGTCCTTCTAGTTGGTAGAGGTCATGGGTTTGGGATGTGCTGTTGAAGGAGTTTTGGTGAGTTATATTAAATACCTGATTTTTCTGATTATTGGTATTTATTTTTAGTTAAAATATTTATGGAGTGTTAAACTAGTTTGTCATTTCCAATTTGTAGCCATGTTTAATGTTCTGTCTTGCAACCTTATCTGATCAAAACCTAATGTTGCATTCTAATATCCAATTTTCTACAGACAGCACTTCTGTAATCTCCTCTGGGACACTTATCATTTGTCCAGCATCTCTAATTCATCATTGGAAGAAGGAAATCGAAAGGCATGTCTCTATCACGAAAATAAGCATATACATGTACCATGGGCCAAAGAGACAGCAATCAGCAAAAGCGTGAGTGTTTTGAGAAATTTGATATGCACAATATATAAAAAGGCATTTTTATTTTAAGTTTGTACACCCTTTTTTTATTTGAGAGGTGTGGTAGATATTTGTTGCTAGTTAATCTTTTCTAGATTGCTATGCAAACGTAAACACCACCTAGTGGATCACTACATTCGTAGTGTGCTTCATTCAAGATGCAAAGAACAGTACAACACAGGATCAGGCCCTTCAGTACTCCAAGACTGTGCTGACACAATGCCTTTCTAAGCTGAAAACCTTATGCCTTTATGCAGTCCGTATCCTTCTTTTCCCTGCCTATTCATATCTCTATTGCTATTGTATTTACCTCCATGTCCTGTGGCAGCACCATCCAGACACTTCACATCTTCTGTTTAAAAATAAAAAAACTTGCCTCTCATAACTCCTTTAACTTGCCCCCTTATACCTTTAAACCTATGTCCCTTTAGCAATTGACATTTCTATCCTATGTATGCATGCCTCTCATAATTTTGTAAACATCTATTGGGTTGGCCCTTTTATCCTTCATTCAAGTGAAAACAAAGCAAGTTTGTTCAATTTCTCCTGAAAGCTAATACTCTCCAAACCAGGCAATATCCTGGTAAACAGTTTCTGTCCCTCTCCAAAGCCTGCACATCCTTCTACCGGAACTGTACGCAATATTCAAAATAAACAAACTCAGAGTTACCTTTTTAAACTTTGAACTGATCAGACAGATTACGCTATCACGTTATACAATGGTAAATTGTAGGTTAATGTTTCACAGTAATTCCCATGGAGTTTCTGCTTTAGATTCAATTTGATGCAGATATTAAACAAGGGCAGGTTTCTGCCATTACCAGCATCAACACCTATCTTTCCTCAGATGAAGAAAAGAAGTAGTAACTAGTCAATTTCCAGTCATAGGAAACTAGTTTATTTGCCGCATTGGAAGCAGAGGGAAAGTATCGTGGGTACCAGCCAATTCAAGGAAACCACATGACAAGGTATCCTAATGACTGGAAAGGAATGTCTTCCTGGGATGTCAAAGTTGGCGTTGAACAGCTGCCCCCAGAAAGAAGAGTTTAATTCGAGATTAAAAATAGTATTTAGAAACATTTTTTATTGACCCTGATCTATGACATTTTAAACATTTTTCTTACAGACTATCAAAATTTGATGTTGTTGTAACAACATATAGCCTTGTTGCAAAGGAGATCCCAGTGAACAAGGAAAATGGACATTGCACAACCAAACATGAGGCAAATGTAAGCTGGGCATTTTTTTTTTCAATCATGTTAATGGTACCACTTGCAAATTTCAGTAGTGTGTAATACCGTGTTATTTTCTTGGATGCATTTCTGCATTTGGGTACCTGTAACAATTGCTGCTTGTTAGAATAGTCCTCAAACTAACAAATCTCAGCTCAACATTTCAGATCATCTGAGCACCTGTGGCATTTTTACAGTGGAATAATGCTCTTAGCGATTTTTGTTTGGACTGAGTGTGTCAGGCCAGTTATTAGTATGCTTTCTGATTTGGTGGTTACACTCTCTTTTTATACTACCAAAACAGCCAATGGAATTAGATTTCTGTTTCCTATGAGAAAATCTGTTAGTATAATTTGAGGTGAGAGTGAGTAGGGTACTTCATCTTTTTAATCCAAACACACTGGTGAAAACTGCACACATCTTTTTTTTTGTTTTGTTTTTATTTTTATTTTTTGTTTTTCAGACCTTAACTGAGACAAAGCTTTCTCATTCCCCGTTGTTGAAGATAGCATGGTCTCGGATAATCCTGGATGAAGCTCACAACATTAAAAACCCCCAAGTACAAACCTCAATGGCAGTGTGTAAACTCCAAGCTAAAGCACGCTGGGCAGTCACAGGAACGCCCATTCAGAACAACCTGCTGGATATGTACTCCTTGCTCAAGTAAGAAAACAGACCAGAGCACCCTGAGTTAAACTTAATTCTTGTGTGTTTTTCAGCTACATTTTTTGCCAGTATTGTTTCCAAATAACTGCTGTTTTTGTTTTAAATATTCTTTTTTTTCCATAATCTTGACCTGTCCCTTCTTTAAGACAAACCTCCTGAGTTATTTGAGATATTTACTCACAGTTTTTGAGTTGTTGTTAATTATTGTTCCTAACTATGGAGCTTGGGCTAATTTCTAAAATCTCGTAACTCTTCTTTCTAACTTTTTCCCTATTGTTTCAGGTTCCTTCACTGTTCCCCATTCGATGAGTTCAAGCTTTGGAAAAACCAAGTGGATAACGGTACAAGGAAAGGTGGTGAACGCCTTAAAATTATCACCAAAAGCCTTCTGTTGAGGAGAATGAAGGACCAGCTTGATGCTGATGGCAAACCTTTGGTATCTAAGTCTATTGTTATTTTGACCCTCAAAAATAATCACTTAATACTATCAGTTTTGCACCAATCAGAACTGATTTTTGGCTTTATTGCAATGCTAAACTGCAGCATAATGCTGACTTTGGATCCAACACTGATTCCAGGAAGTGTTTTTTTTTTTTCAAATCTTTTGTGATGTACTCTGTAAACCTGCACTCCAAATATATAAATTGTGATTAGATATAAATTCTCCCTTTTTTTAAATAGTTCCTCAATTTTTGCTGTTATCCAAAAATGCCTATTCATCAATCCTGTGAAAGTGAATGAGGGGCAGCAAATAAAAATACGTTTCCTTGCCTGGAATCTAAGCTATAACAACTAGTCTGACATGGTGGGTAGAGTCTTTACTTAAGAATTTCTACAGGGTAAAAGATGATGCTTCACCAAAACTGTTTGAAAGCTGAAAAATTTTAATCATTATCTCTGTGATATTGTTGGTCCCAAAGTTTAAGTAACTCTTATTGTGCGTGAATCAAGAACAACAAATGGAAACAGTAGGAATAGTTTGCAGAACAGTAATCCATAACTGCATATGTCTATCAAATGAAGCTATATGCTGTCAATTATTCTTGTAGCAAATGTTTCATTTAACAAATGTAGAAGACAAAAGAGAGATGCAAGATAGCTTTTAAGTTAGTGGGTAATGTGTTGAAGTATCAGAATGCAATGCCATTAACTGTATTCCTGTTCTGGCACTCTACTTAGTTCCATTCCCCTTCTAACTTACTTAGTTCCTGATCTGAGATCAGCCAAAAGCAAGTTGTCAACTGGTTGCATGCATGTGATTTTTCTTGCAACATTTAAGGCTCAGGAATAGGATGTCACCCTTTGCTCTCAGTTACAGGAAGTACACAATCAGTAAGATTTTAAAAAATGGTTGGTGAAATCAAAGTATCATGACTCTGAAGATTGAATTTGTTTCTGACTAATTAAATTTTCTGGTACTTAGCCAGTGATAGACAGCTTGGGGTAGAATGCAAAAAAAAAAAATTGTACTCCTCTTCCCAATCACTTTGTATAACATGGACAAAGGATCTATGACAGGAATCAAAAAACTCAGTCACAGCACTGAATGAACCCAGGAGCAGCAATAGTATTTAGGAGTTTCCAAGTCAAGATCTTCACCTCATGTGAAGAGTCTAGGGTTTTCTATGAAAATAATGATGAGGCTTAACAGTATGCTCAAAACCATAGTAACAGTTGGCACGTGAAGATATGCAGTTAAATAAGTTGCTGTCCCAGCCTTCCTCACTCCACATTTGAATGTATTTAAATGGTGTGATGTTCCTTCATTGTCCTGACACCGTGGATACAGACTAGTCGTGCCATAGAAATGGAGCGTGAACTAATTCTTTACAGAAATACAATATTATTCTCAATATCATTTTTGTGACAATTTCTTATGAACCTGTTTTGTTTCTCTAGGTTGTCCTGCCGCAGAAATTTAACCGCTCACATAAGCTAAAATTGTCAGACGAAGAGGAAGCTGTTTACAATGTCTTGTTTGCTCGTTCCAGGTATGTTTTGAGGAATTGTGTGTTGTTGAAATACAAAATGTCACTGCTTCCAATTAGAGAATATACTTTGGTTAATCCTGTCCACTCCCTTGTAGATATTTTGCATAATTCTCCAATTATAAATGTCAGAGGGAAACATTTGCCATGCTACACAGACCTGTGCTCAGGTGCAGGCTGTGCCATGGACATTTTTTATGTATGAAGCAACACAACGTTTTTTAAAAAAATTCTTCCCCAGAGTTTTCAATATCTTTTCCTGTGAGCAGAGAAAGTGACTAAAAAGGTAATTACCTTCTTTTATCATGTTGAAGTAGAACAGATGGGACACCATATATTTTAACACTTTTGTGTTCTATTGTGTATTTGGAAGCTTAATTTTAAAAATTGTCAAGCATATTTTCATGAAGATGATAATCCCTTGAATAAAGATTGGATTGATTTAGCCTTAGACTTGTAATGCTGCACTGGTGTGATTTTTGTTCAAATCTTAGCTTTGAAGAGCTTTTTAACAAGTAGAACATCCAGTGAATAAAACATTGAGAGAACAGCACTTATCTTGATCGCATAAAGATGCTATAATGCAGGACCACAAAATCATCAGCTTGCCGTTTTTCTTTGTAAGATAAATGCTGTTGCTGTAGAAATTAGTCAATTGCAGTAGCAGTTTTGTAAAAATATTTCTCGTACTCCCCACCAAAACAGTTTCACCTGTGGTGCCTGGAAAATAGCAATTCACCAACTATAGTAGTTGCTGAAACAGAATGTTTTCATTGATTAATATTTAATTAAACATTCTTTCATCCATCAATAAACTTAAAAATGCTGCTATCCAAGTTCAATGATTTGGAATCCAGTGTGTGAGCACTACTGTTTGCTCCACTACTACTTCCTTTTTAGTGATATTGAGTGATTTATGTACTGCAATACACTTATTTTTGTGGTACTTACCTCCAACAGTACATTTTAGCTCCTTCATTCAAACTTCCTAAATTCGAGTTAGCTCAATTCCACGTCAGATTACATTTGAAATACTATTTATCTCATTATCCTGTAGGATTACTGGGTTCTAAGTACACCATGACACATGGGCAGGAGGCAGAAATGGAGAGTTGGCATGTGCAACCATTGTGTGAAGCACCTCCATGGTATGCAAGCCATTCCTGTACCATTTAGAAACTGCTTCACCATGCCATTGTGACGGAAACAAATTCAAGGATTAGTGATAACAAGGTGTAGAGCTGGATGAACACAGCAGGCCAAGCAGCATCAGAGGAGCAGGAAAGCTGACGTTTCGGGCCTAGACCCTTCTTCAGAAATAGCGGACTAGTTTCATTGCTTGTTCTAACTGATGCCCCGAAAGAGGTTCTGTTTCAACCTAGAACCCTGGATATGAATTATAAACAGATTGATTTTTTTTTTTCTATAAATTTAAATTGCAGTGATATTGAAATTGTCCTTGGGGTGGGTGGGGGGGGAGGTGAAGATGATGAATTCCATTTAATGAAGTATTGCTGGACTCCCTTTAGAATAAGCCTAGGTCTATTCCTGCTGGTTTTAAAGACATATTTTACATTCACCAAACTTTTTTTTTGAAGAAATTGACATAACTTTGCATATGTATATTTAAGCTGGTTAATTGTTTGCATTCATTTTAAATTCATACTAAAAGATGAACACATTCAAATAAATTAGCTTAAAACTATTAGCTATGATATATTTTCAGTTGTCATATTCTATTAATTCCAGTGTTGTAACTATTGTAGTCCATTGAGAGTCATTTTTCCTTTTTTATTCTCAATTATCTTCGTTATATATTTCACTAAGTTTTCTGTTGTATTTCATTGAACCTTTTGCTTTGACAGACAAAACATTTCATAATTTCTAGTTAATATAACTTTCTGCTGACTTCTGTTAGAGATATGGAGCCCTCTAATATTTTTGAAACCGCTTTGTTAGTTTAGCCATTTTTTTTCTGGAACTGCTTCATAACTTTTCCTTTCCATAGGTCAACCTTGCAGTCATACTTGAAGAGACATGAAGGCAAGGATGATAAAGTCAATTCATCACCGGGTACTGATAACCACTTCAGCAGAGGTAAAAAAGAAAACAATCAGGATGCTGTCTCTCAAAAGATAAATTCTGCATATACCAATGACCTGCAGCAAAAATAAAACCTGTTAAGAGAAGCAAAGCAGCTAGGTCAGAGTTGATGGACCCTGTACATGAAAATCACCTTAACTTTTTCCTTTTGTCATAAACATAAGACATTAAGTTTTAAAATGTACCTTCTTTTTAGTTAAAAATAAAACAGATCATTCTAGTTAAGCACATCATCTTGGAGTTATGCCCTTGTGATCCATGAACTGGTGTCTCTGGTGTGAAATGGACATGGACACTTGTTAATCCACTTTGAAGATTTTGTTTTTAAATTGCGTGAATCTTTCTGAATGCCATTACTGGATAATGATATATTTAACAACTTGCCAACTGTTTTTTAGCACCCATTAATGTAGGATGTTTAGGAGGTTTATTGTGAAAATCAAGTTACTTAATGTAATGTTACCACTTTGGTCCCACGTTATGAAAATTAGCCCCTTATTTCTGTCACGCTTTTTTTGTGATTTCAATACCATCTGTTTTTTGCTGTGGATTCTAAGTGATAATTTGTGCAAACTTGCAAGCAGTTTTGTATTTTGACCTGTTCCTTCCAGGATTTTATTTGAGACTGGTGTTCTCTTCTTAGAACTCTTGCAGTTAGAAAAGAAAGAAATGTTGCCATGGTAGATTCAAGCCCATATACAGGAGGTGAAATTGATATAGTGAACTATGCTGGAGAGACCTATATTCTGAGCTCAAGTTTCCTATATGAGCGTTTAGATTCCAATGTCAGGACTAAGTGTTCTGAACTTTTTACTAATGGAACACCAAACATAGTCTTCCTATTGGCACCCTCCTAACTGACTGACTGACTGCCATTTGATTCCTACGAAGGATAACGTGGGCTTTTTGCTTCCCAGCAATATTCCAAGAGCCACCTCATTTGTGGATTTTTTTTTTCTTTCATGGGATATGGATGTCATTGGCAAGATCAGCATTTGTTGCCCATTCTAATTTCTCTCGAACTGAGTGGTTTCATAGAATCATAGAATCCATTTTGGCCCATTGAGTCCACACCAACCCTCCAAAGAGCATTCCACCAGACCCACCCCCTACCCTATCCCTGCATTACCCATGGCTAATCTGTCTAACCTACACATCCCTGGATACTACGGGCAGTTTAGCGTGGCCAATGCACCTACCCAGCACATCTTTTGGACTGTGGGTGGAAACTGGAACATCTGGAGGAAACCCACACAGAATGGGGAGAATGTGCAGACTCCGCACAGAGCCCATTTCAGATTGTAGTTTAAAAGTTCATTACATTGGTATGGGTCTGGAGTCATATGTAGGCCAGACCAAGTAAGGATGTCAGATTTCGTTCCCTAAAGTGTGTTGGTAAGCCAGATGAGTTTTTACAACAATCAGTAATATTTGAGATCATTACAGAGATTGGCTTTCAATTTCTAACCTGTTAAAAATAAAATTAAAGATTAACTTGTATTTTGTTTCCTGTTTCTTCTCATTCAGTAGCTCGCGAGTTTGGTATTGCATCTGTCAATGGTGATCCTTCCTCTGCCCAGAAGAATTCTCCAGCATCAAGCACTGCACACATCTTATCTTTGCTGCTCAGGCTTCGACAGTGCTGCTGCCACCTCTCTCTGCTGAAGACGGTAAGAAGTAATTGTACTGTACAAAAGTAGATGCAAGTGATCAAATTGCCACCTTTTTTAACATTATAGATGTGCACAATTTCTGACAGTGCGGAAATAAATTATTGCATTTTGCAATTTTATGACTGGAATGCAAGCAGAAAAGCCCTAACAAAGTTTATGCTTTACTTTGTGGTACTTGGAGAGCTCTACTAGAAGGTGTGAATATTATCAATTGCAGTAATTTGATCTGCCTTTATGTAACATAGTTCTGAGTACCACACTCCATACCACATCCTTGTATATGGTGGGGTGCTAAACACAGACAACTCGGACTAGTTCAGTTTAGGAAACTGGGTCAGACTGAAGGGTCTGTTTCCATGTTGTATGAATCTATGATAGCTGAGGGCAAGAAAGTAAAACTAATAATCTTTGGCCAGCAGTCCAGTTTACCTGATACATGATGAAAAAACAAGAAAGCAAATACAGATGCTGAAGATAACTTGATTCATCTAGCTTTTCCCTTCCACAAAAATAAATCTGCTGCAACTGAATTTATTTTGGCTATGTTTCTATTTATTTTTAAACGGTTTTTGTTTTGACTTATAGGCTCTGAATCAAAGTGAGATGGAATCTGAAGGCATCACCCTCTCCCTGGAAGAGCAACTCAATGCTTTATCATTGTCAGAGGTCACAGCCTTTGACAACAAGCCAGCTGTTAGCCTGAATGGTACCAGCTTCAAAGCAAACCTGTTTGAGAAAACCAGAAAGAGCACCAAGGTATGTTCAGAGACCGTTTAACGCTAAGTTATAAAATTCACTGATGTGCAATGGATGTGCAATCTTTAGGAACATTTTGTGAACGCAAGCAAAACCAAAGCTATAAATTTTGAGTCTACAACATATTTTGGATTTGCATTTACGTTAATGCTGCTGTACAGAGCAAGTTGTTCCTGCGTTATCAAACATTCAGTGTGTCATCTTCTGCTATGCGGAGGATGATGGCAGTCTATTTGCCCAGTTCAATATCCCTCAGAATGAAATGCATGACTGAGTAATTCATTTTTCCATCATGTTGGTATAGGATGATTAATTGGGTAGTATTGGAATCTGTCTGTTCTTTTTGAATAATTTGAGTCCTTGAATCCATGAATCCATGCAATATTGGGTAAGCTCCTCAGAAAACTCATGGACTGTTTTAGAAATGTAAATGATATTTCGTTTTTATGTATGATAAATCAGTCTGAATTAATTTTTAAATGATGGCAAAAATACTGAATAGTTTTGCAAAATATTGTAGAAGTATAATTGTACAAGATATAATTATGTATTGCTTTTATAGAAACAAGACATTCTATTGTGTTGAAGCAAAAATGGGCCCAAGACCGAGAGAGATTTAGAATTTTTAAAAAGTCTTGATCAAAAGACAGGGTTATATGTAAGGACCTGCAGGTGGAGAAACCGAAAACCCCAGAGCATGGCATGAGGCAATTGAACAAGCTCAACTTCCTTCATGCTACAAGAGGTTGGAGTCAGGAATGTGGAATTGTAAGGCTGAAGAAGATTGCACAGAGTACAAGGTCATAGAATCATAGAATCCCTACAGTATGAAAACAGGCCCTTCGGCCCAACAAGTCCACACTGACCCTTGGAGCATCCCACCCAGACCCCTCCCCCTATAACACACCTAATCTACACATCCCTGAACACTACAGGCAACTTAGCATGGCCAATCCACTTAGCCTGCATATCTTTGGACTGTGGGAGGAAACCGGAGCACCTGGAGGAAACCCACGCAGACACGGGGAGAACATGCAAACTCCACACAGACAGGCCCCCAAGGGTGGAATCAAACCCGGGTCCCTGATGCTGTGAGGCAGCAGTGTTAACCACTGAGCCACCATGCTGCCCCTGAATCCAGAGTTTAGATCATAATGTTGAATGATAAGGAGACCACGTAGGGGATCTTGGTTGACCAGCTGAATTTCCTGTGAGACAGGATACAAGCATCAGAATAAGAAAGAGCTGAAGTTCTGAGATCTGATCAGGAAAGTGGCAGCATAATTTGAGTCTAGAAGTGGTAGTAGCCTATATGAGGGATTAGACAAAAAAGATGAGCTGTTTTTGGGATAGGATGGATGCTGTTGGAGGTGAGATAAATGATCTTTATGTTGGAGGAAAGACCAGTTAGAAATTCAGCTAGAAGTTAAAACACTTTCTGCAGAGACTGTTGTCTGGCTCAGCCTGACATAGACTTCAGGCAAAGGAAGAAAGTCCATGGCAAAGTATGGAGTTAATAACTGGTGCTAGTATGTTACCACAGGAAATGTTGGTTCACCTATGAATGAATGCAGGACAAGCAGAGTCAGTGGGGACATTAGGACGCGGTGGAAGAGATAGCGCATGCGTGTGGAAACTGACTGTCAACATCTAACCCCAAGAAACATGTACACGAGAAAAGAAAAGGGCACTGAAGAAAACTCTTGTGGACACCAGGAAGTAACCATGCAGGGTGGAAAGGCAGACCATTGCTAGTATTGCTGTAGATCGTAACTAAATAAGGAACCGTTTACTTTGCAATAATTATCAGCTCAAAGGTAAAAACTTAATGGATGTGTTTTGTGGGCTGAAATCACTTATAAACTAAGGAATTAATAACTTAAAGTTGCTAGCTATGGGCCACAAGTTAAAATCAGGAGGAGGCTATTCAACCTTTCAAACCTGCTCTGTGTCTCGATAGTATCATGTCTGACCTATGTATACTCAAAATTCCACATTCACACCTATCCCTGATAACCTTTGATTCCCAGCCTAACAGGAATCTGTCTGAAAGTACTCACTGACTTCACCTCCACCATCTTAGGAAGTGGAGTGTTCAGGCATAAAAAGATTTTCCTCATCTCATCCTAATATTTTAAACAATGTCCCCTAGTTCTCAACTCATCAACCCAGCTAAACGTCCTCTCCACCTCGACCTTTTATCAAGACCATTCAGAATCTTTCAAATTACCGTCAAGTCAAGCCTTGTTTTCCTGAGCTCTCCAACAAAATAAGCCCAACCTCTGCAGTCATTCCAGGTATCAATCCAGTAAATCTCCTCTAAACCGCTTTCAACACATTTTACGTCCTTCCTTAGATAAGGAGACCAAAATTTTACAATGTTCCAGCTGTCTTCTCACCAGTATAACATCCTTACTTTAATGTTCAACTCTTCTCGTAATGATCTCACATTAGCCTTCCTGATTATTTGCTGTATCTGCATATTAACTTATTGTGTTTCAGTACGAATGAATGTTTAACCACCGTTTTCTCCTTGAATTTTGCTGGCAGATCTCTGCACTGTTGGAGGAATTAAAAGCAATAAGAAGCAGCCAAGAACCACAAAAATGGTATGACTCTAAAAAGGATCCACTTTTCAACAAATTAGTTATATATGAGAAGATATTTTCTGTGTGGTGAATATAAGCCATGCATGTTTTGCATTTTTCCATACAGCATAAAACTATAAGACCATAAGACATAGGAGCAGAAATTAGGCCATTCGGCCCATCCAGTCTGCTCCGCCATTCAATCATGGCCGATAAGTTCCTCAACCCCATTCTCCCGCTTTCTCCCCGTAACCCTTGATCCCTTTGATAATCAAGAACCTATCTATTTCAGTCTTAAATGTACTCAATGATCTGGCCTCCACAGCCTTCTGTGGCAGTGAATTCCACGGATTCACTACTCTCTGGCTGAAGTTTCTCCTTATCTCTGTTCTAAAAGGTCTTCCCTTTATTCTAAGGGTCCTAGTCTCTATATATTCTATATATACCACTATATATTCTTACAACTATTACTGAACACACGGTATCTGAAAGTGCACAGTAATTTGCATTAGTGCCCAGCAGAGTTGAAGTGCTATAAAATGCAGAATCATCTCATTTGAATAACTATTGGTAGTTCAAGTGTAAAATCATTGACTGACTCTGCTGAGGATTTTATTAAAATGAGTGCAAGTTTTAAAAGCCATGCCTGGCTAAAAATTGTAAGAACAAGCTAAGGATAAAGGTAAAGTTAAGGTAAATAGGAAAGTAAGACCATAGGAAATAGGAACACAAGTAAACCATCCAGGCCTTCAAATCTGTTCCCAATTCAGTAGGATCTGACATTCCTGAAGTCCACTTTCCTACTCTTTTCCCCTTAACCCCTGATTCCCCTACTGATCAAAAATCAGTCGTTCTGAGCCTTAAATACACAAGGACTCGCTCCCCACAGCTCTCTGTCAAGGAGTTCCAAAGACATTTCAAACCTCAGAGATGAAATTTCTCCTCATGTCAGACGAAATTGGTACCCTTATTTCTGAGACTGTACCCTCTGGTCCTAGATTGAGGAAGAGAAATATCCTCCCAGCAGTTACTCTGTCAAGCCCCTTAAAAATCCGAAGTGTTTCAATGAGATCACCTTCCGCTCTTCTAAACTCCAATGAGTAGAGTCCTAGCCTGTTTTAGCCTTGGCTCATAAGACAATCCTTCGTCACCCTACTGAAACTTCCCTGAACTGCCTTCAAAGAAATAATATCCTTCATTAAATAAGGGAATCAAAACTGCTGACGATATTTCAGATGTGGTCTTACTAGCACCTTGCACAGTTGTAGCAAGACTTCTCATACACTAACCCCCTTGAAATATTTTCCGATCAATCTGTTCAGAGATGTTATCACACCCCTCTGAAGTAAGTGGAACTTGAACCTGGGCCTCCTGACTCACAGGTGGAAACACTGCCGCTGTGGTAGAAGAGCCCTAACCCCCTTTAAACTAAGAGCCAACATTCTATTAGCCTTCCTTATTACTTACTGCACTGTGTGCTAGCTTTGTGTTTTGTGCACAAATACTCCCAAGTCCCCCTTTGTGTTGCAGCTTTCCACAGTTTTTATCCATTTTGTAACTCTGTTCTTTTTGTTCTGCATTTGAAATGTACAACTTCACATTTTCCCACATTATACACCTTTATTTTTGCCTACTCTTTTTCTCTTGCTTAACCTATCAGCCTAGAGAGTCCGAGGTCTACAGCACGGAAACAGGCTCTTCGGCCCAACGTGCCCATGCCGCCCAGTTTTCAGAATTTAAACTAGTCTCCCTTGCCTGCATTTTGGTCCATATCTCTACGTACCTATCCCATCCATGTACCTGTCTGAATGTTTTGTAAATGACTGCATTGTACTCGCTTCCATCACTACCTCTGGCAGTCCATTCCAGATACTCACCACCATCTGTGTGGAAAAAATTGCCCCTCTGAACACACATTTTTTGTATCTGTCTCCTCTCTCCTTAAACCTCTGCCCTCTAGTTACAGACTGAGCTACTGTGGGGAAAAGATGCCGGCTATCTACCTTATCTATGTCTCATGATTTTATAGAGCTCCTATAAGGTCACCCCTCAGTCTCCTACACTCTCAGGAAAAAAAGTCCCAGCCTATTCAACCTCTCCTTTATAAGTCAAACCTTCCAGTCCAAGTAGCATCCTTGTAAATGTTTTCTGCACTCTTTCTGGTCTTTCTGGTTACAATGAAGGACTCTGCTTCTCAACCCCTCCCTTCGGTTGAGGTGCAGTGACCATCGGGTTAAACTGCCACTGGTCATCTCTCTCTAATCAAAGAGCAGCCCTATGGTCTGGTCTGGTCTGGTCTGGTAAGACTATGGTACTTTACCTTTTACATCTTTCTGCCTCACCAGCACCTTGTATAGCTGCAACAAGACATCCCAACTCTTACTTTCAATCCTCTGATTGACAAAAATAGGCATGCCGAAAGCTTTCTTTACCACCTGGCGTACCTGTGACTCCATTTTCAAGGTGCTATGAACCTGTATACCTTGATCCCTTTGTTCTGTAACACTTCCCAAGGCCCTACCATTGACTCCATAAGTCCTGCCCTAGTTTGCCTTATTTTTACCTCTGTAAACTGTTTGTTTGTATCCTTCTTGCAACCTGCCTTTCCACTTACATTTGTCGTCTGCAAAATTTGCAGTACATTTGTGTCCTTCTTCCAAGTGCTTTTAAATATATATTGTAAACAGTTACAGCGCCCACACTGATCCCTGAATAAAAGTAGCTACGTCAACTGCAGTAGGAAGCATTAAGACTATTGACACCTACAAGGAACCTGTCATAGCGCTGCTAAAGATGTTTTATACCTTTATTGATATCAGCATCGCACAAGTAGCATCCTTGTAAATGTTTTCTGCACTCTTTCTGGTCTTTCTGGTTACAATGAAGGACTCTGCTTCTCAACCCCTCCCTTCGGTTTTTTTAGAGTAGATACCAGATGTTTGGGCACACCGAGATTGATTTTTGACCCACTTGTCAGTAATGTCTGTATTAGACTGTATGGAGGTGTCAGCTGAAAGGAACAGAAGAATGGCACACAAGTTGGGCCTCCAAGAGAGGAAGTAAATGCCCATCTTGTGAGATTGAAGCCTCCAGCCAGAAATTCAGAACAGTGTGTTGAGAAATTCAGTTGTCTGAGGACAAGCTTAATGACATTCTAGCTGCTCACTTTCCTAGGTTGGTTATCAAAACAATCTTTAGCCACAACCATTTCAGTTAGCTCAAGTATGCAATGCAGTGTGATGCCAATAGTATGGATTCAGTTCCTGCACAGGCGGAGGTTACCATGAAGGACTCTGCTTCTTAACCCCTCCCTTCGGTTGAGGTGCAGTGACCTTCGGGTTAAACCGCCACTAGTCATCTCTGTCTAATCAAAGAGCACCCCTATGGTCTGGTCTGGTAAGACTATGGTACTTTACCTTTTACATCTTTCTGCCTCTTATGTGAACAATGCATAGCTTGTACATGTTACTGTGGATCGAATACAGCAATGAGGGTTGGGGATGAATAACGGAAAAGGGAAATCCTCTCATCAATTATGAGGGTGAAGATGTTCAGGGTCAATAATTTGAGGCCAAGCTTTGCAGTAAAATGCATTGGTCCTCTGATAGCTATAGGACCAATCTTAAAGATTTTCTCTTTACCGCCTGAAATGATTGGCTGCCACTGATTTCATTTTCACAAACAGTTGTCAGCATCTGTGACGTGCATCTTTCAGGACCCTGCATGGGATGGAGAGGTGGGAATTTTGCTAGCTTTCATTCTGAATTTGTTCTAGGACCCTGAGCTCCACCTAGTGTCAGGCACTGGTTAGTGCAGATGGTGCAGGCAGCAATCCAGAACTAACCAACTACCACCTGATCAATTAAAAGTTCCATCAGATGAGTTTAACCGTGTAGCATTTATTTACAATATTTATGTTTTTATTCATTTGATTTTAAAAATTCATTTTATTTGGAAATGTAAAGCAATTTAAGTTAATGTTTGAAGTTGGCCGGGACGGTAGCACTGTGGTTAGCACTGGTGCCTCACAGCATCAGGGACCCAGGTTTGATTCCATCCTTGGGCAACTGTCTGTGTGGAGTTTGTATATTCTCCCTGTGTCTACGTGGGTTTCCTCTGGGTGCTCCAGTTTCCTCCCACACTCTAAAGACGTGCAGGCTAGGTGGATTGGCCATGCTAAATTGCCTGTAGTCATCAGGGATGTGTAGATGAGGGACACGGGTCTGGGTGGGATGCTCCGAGGGTCGGTGTGAACTTGTTCGACCGAAGGCCTGTTTCCACACTGTAGGGATTCTATGAAGTTTGTTTTTTGCTAAGAAACATCATTTGGATAGCAATTTTACCACTTCCTGACTTTTTTGCTTTGCTTTGTAAATGAGTTATGGGGGTATGTTACATTTAGCAATAAATTAATGAATTAAATATTTATTTGCATTACATGAGGGACTGTAATCCAAAGATAATTATTTGGCTGCAAAATGCTTTGGGGACATCCTGAGTGCATAAAAGTTTCCATATAATTTTTTTTCTCAATCACATTCACTCACCAACATTTTCTCCTTCTGTCAATATGATAATGGTGGAGACAGTATCTGAATTAAACCCCTATATATGTAATTTATAGCCTTGTGCTGTCTTTTACTTTGCCTGTTTCAATTACTTGTTAGATATGTATTAGATAATGAAGCTACGTTAATCACTTTGTTCTGTGTAATTATTTGTGCATTTCTCTCAGTGTAATAATTTCTCAATGGACTAGCATGTTGCAAGTGGTAGCAGGCCACTTGGATCGAATCAGCCTGAGCTATATCACACTTGATGGCACTGTGACTCCTAAACTTCGTATGGATTTGGTGGAGGAATTTAACACTAACCCTAAAGGACCTCAGGTACCAGCTGGTTATGTTTTTGAATTTTCTTCTGAACATTTATCCAGGATACTAATGGGTGATAACTTACAGTTGTGGACTTGCTGTAGTACTTGGATTGGTGAACTAGGCTGGGTTTAATTTTGATACATGCACCTTCCTTATCTTTATTTCCTGGCAGATAATTTGCAGTATAACCATCTAACCTCACATCAAGAATGATTCCTTGGATGAAGTACTAGAATGTTGTTCGTCCCCATAAGACATAGCCAGCGTGAAATGACAGGGAAAATTGGATAGTAGAAAATGTTTACCATTCGGATAGTGCTTTATATCTCAGGAAGTTCAATAATGGGTTTGGATAATTTACAAATCTCGAAATGTAATGAGTTACTTGGTAGTACAGTGAGCGGTAGGACAGAGCTAGACCAGAGCAGGTATACAAACCTGGCAGACAAAGTGAGACTTCAGTTGTCAGGCAGCTGCCACCAAGAGCCTGCATTCGGTACAAAAAATTGGCGTGAAATCGTAGCAATGGTTAGTTTGCCTGCTAAGTATTTTGCATTTCATCTAACCTAGGAATGTTCAACTGGATCATGTGAAGCATTAGTTAACCTCAGAGGTGGTGACACAATGGTAATGTCAATAGACTAGTATTTCAACAATTAATGTTCTGGGGTCATGAGTTCAAATCCCACCATGGCAGATGGTGAGATTTGTATTCAATAAAAATCTGGAATTACAGGATAGTCTAAACATGACATGTGACCATTGTTGTAAAATCTCATCTGGTTCAGTAATGTTCTTTAGGGAAGAAAATTGTCATCCTTCCCTAGACTGGGCTACACATCACTCCAGACCCACAGCAATGTGGCTGACTCTTACTATTCTCTGAAATAGCCCAAACAAGCCGCTCAAGGGACAATTAAGGATGGGCAATAAATGCTCACCCAGCCAGCAATGCTCATGTCCCATGAATGAATAAAAACAACCTTTTAAAGAATACCAGGACAGGTGTGAATAGAGGCATTCATTAAAATTTAACTAGTAAAATAATTAATTAAAACAAGATAAATATGGCAGGGCAGGTAATATGTTCCTGCTGCAGAATGTGGGTGCTCATGCACTAAACACCGAATAAGAAAAGTTTTTTTTTTTTTAATCAGTTTTATTTTGAGTTTTCACATCCCTAAACCCCACCCCACCGCTTAACTGTTCCCGCCTATATTGGCATCCCTATCCTATGGGACAGAGGCTATTCTGGTTGGATAGTTGTTCATTGTGTATATGTGAATTCAGAAAAGGGCCGAATGCTGCACATTCACACCTGAAGACTTGGTCTATCTCAAATTATCCATGAAAAACAAAGTATCTCAAAAATATGTACAAGTTAGGCAAGCCATTTCAGGCATTGACTGTGCAGTTTCTACTAATAAGATCACTGTCAGTTTCAAAAGATGTTCTGCCGACTACATAATCGCGCAGTCTGTGAATTTCTGTATCATTTATAGTGCCAGGTATGTAGGCTGTACATCCCAATGATTTTTAAATTTGTTTTTTCTATTCATTTTTTGGGATGTGGGCGTCGCTGTCTGGCCAGCATTTATTGCCCTTGAGAAGGTGGTGGTGAGCTGCCTTCTTGAACCGCTGCATTCCTCCTGCTGTGGGTTGACCCACAATGCTATTAGGAAGGGAGTTCCAGGATTTTGACCCAGTGACAGTGAAAGAACGGCGATATATTTCCAAGTCAGGATGGTGAGTGACTTGGAGGGGAACTTGGAGGTGGTGGTGTTCCCATATATCTGCTGCCCTTGTACTTCTGGAAGGAAGTGGTCATGGGTTTGGAAGGTGCTTTCTGAGGATCTTTGGTGAATTTCTGCAGTGCATCTTGTAGATAGTACACACTACTGCTACTGAGCATCGACGGGGAAGGGAGTGAATGCTTGTGGATATTGTGCCAATCAAGCAGGCTGCTTTGTCTTGGATGGTGTCCAGCTTCTTGATTTGTTATTGGGGATGCACTTATCCAGGCAAGCGGATGAATTGCATTAAATAATGTACTTCTTCACTTGTTCATAATGTGCAGTGTTCATGCTATACTCTGTGAGACCACACTTGCAAAGCCTAAAACTAAACACACATTATTAGATGTGATTCTGAAATTTGACAGAGCTTGCTGAACAAACCTGAATGGACTAATAGTTTCTAACCCTAACCCGAACTGCCAATTTATGACACCATTCAACCTTGTATTATGATCTCCGCTGATAGTATTGGACAAGTCAGACTTCATAATGAAACCTGGTTTTATACAGCCTGTGTTTTTTTTTTTTACAACTTTGTTACTATGGTGGTCATGAACTAAACATTCATCACATGATGCTGACAATGTACTCTCAACAAAAGCATAAGTTTTATTTCACAAAAGAAAGAGAGACCATTCAGAAAGATCTTATCATAAACAACTAAATATACATTTTTTTTCCCAGCAATGATTGGTTACAACAGTCAACCCTAAGGGTGTATCACTTGTGCATTCAGTTTAAGATTTCTTATTCAACTTACGAGATTGTAACCTTTTTCCTTTTGGTGACTCTCTGCACATTAACCAGATGTGATTCCCTTCTTTACTGTTTTCCCGGAGATGCCTCGCTGGTCTTTCTGACTTTGACTGCTTAAGGCTGCTAAATCAACTCTGATGACTTGGAGGCTTCCAAACTTAAAAACTGCTGTTCTGGGACAATCCTGTTCTTCTTCACAGAAACCTGACTGTGACTCCATTGTTATTTGTCTTTCTGTATGTCATAAGTTTAACTTTGTAAACACTGAATCAAATAACTCCCCAGGTAGCTTTCTGATCATTTAGCTTAAGTCTCATGCTTTATTGGAAATGATGTTTTGATGTTCAAAAATTACTTTCTAACCACTTTACAAAACAAAATGTCTCGATCACAGTATTAAAATCAAAATCCCATCCACCTCAAATTCAAATTCCCAGAAGATAAAAAATAATGACATTATAAATCTTTAATCACATTCGCAATGTGGATCATTGTCACTTGTTAGAAATGACATACTTTTATACACACAAGGACTTGCATCTTTTTTGAATAACCAGAGAATTACAGGTTACAGAGCCCATAGTTCTCCAACGATTGTGCAAGGTGCCATGGAGAAAGCAGAGTCAACTTACCAACCAATCAGCACACACTTCTTCTTTAATATAACTTCCTGTGATTGTTTGTAATTTGGCATTTTTGCATTATTCCAAGTGAGTGCAAGTCAAAAAATTTTGGTAACAAGATTCTCTTTTCAGCAAAGAAAATGTTATGTATTTTCAGTCTGATGACAATGGGAATTCTACTGATATAGTCAAATATACTTGGATCAATCACAGATTAATTCGGAAGATCCTTCATTCAAACCTGATTTTTCTGTAATGAAATTTATAACATTTTACTAATTTAAGAGCACCTTCCTTCTAATTTTTTTTTTTCTCCAAGGTCATATTGGTCTCTCTGTGTGCTGGGGGTGTGGGTTTGAATCTCATTGGAGGCAATCACCTCTTCCTGTTGGATATGCACTGGTAAGATGTATTACAAGTAGTTACACACTATATTAAAATGTGGTATTGCAAGAACACTTATTCCTTGTGCTCTGTGCATACAGATAGTTTTGTACTGCAGGGGTGGCCAATTGGTAATGTCACTGGACAAGTGATCAAATCTGTAGGAGCAAACTAATGCTGAGGTGACATTTAGATCAAATCCTGACATAGAATTTAAATTAAATTAATAATAAATCTGAATATAAATCTAGTTTTAATGGTGCCTGAAACATTAATAGTTTGTTGCAAAAAAAAATCCATTTGGTTCACTTAATGCCCTTTTTAGGGAAGGAAATCCTGTCGTCCTCACATAACCTGTTTTATATGTGACTCCAGACCCACCGTAATGTAAATGGTCTATAAGCCACTTCGTTCAAGGGCAATTAAGGATGGGCAACAACAGCTGATGTGCCTGCAATATCCTTGTCCCATAAAAATATAAAGGGAAAAACTCCACCTGATTTCAAACATTTTTAATTATCAATAATTAATTTCTCTATTAATGATTCAATGCTTAAAATTTAACACTTGTTGGTTCTTAAATAATTGAGGAATTTTCTTATTTCATTTATGATACTAATTCCCACATTCCTTTAGATTCTTCTCTACGATTGAATTCCACTTGTATCTGTTTCGATCACTGCCTTCTTAGATTTGAAGGTACATGGTAACCTAAACCCTGGGCCTCAATCGGTGCTATCTGATTACAAAATAAGTCTTTAATCGACTCTCGAGCTTATTTACATGTGTTGTCCCTGATGTTTAGTAATGAAATCATCTCTGATCAGCACTTTTCCATCTCCCTCGCTCTCTCCCGTTCGCGCTCTCTCTCTTTCTCTCCCTCTCCTATAGCTTAAGTAAGATAATTGAGTTCTTGGTTAGGAACTTATGCCCTAATAGATCATACTGGATAGCTCTAATTGGACAAATCCAGATAATTTTATCAGCAGAATTGAAATGCCAATTTCAATGACTCTTCATAAAAATAATAATGTGGATTCATCGTAAGAGTTACAGGTTACAGAGCCCATAGTTCCCCAATGATTCTGCAAGGTGCCACGGAGAAAGCAGAGTCAAATTGCCAACCAATCAGCACATGTTTCTTGTTTAATATAATTTCCTATGATTGTTTGTTTGTAATTTGGCATTTTTGTATTATTCCGGGTGAGTGGAATGCGAAAGATTTTGGCAACATGACTCTCTTTTCAGCAATGAAAATGTAATGTATTTTCAGTCTGATAAAATGATATGTGTCCAATATGTTTTATGCATTTTTTTATCCAAACTCCGTTGCACTTTGTTTCTTCTGTAGTAAAACCTGCATTTCTTTTTTGCAGAAGGTCTTTGCAGAGTGGTTACTTTGTCAAAAAAATTGATTAACTTTAGAAATTATGTAGTTTTAGCTTTATGTATTATTTAATACTGTAAATTTTGACAAATGAAACTTATATACACCCAACTGTATTTTCAGGAATCCGGCATTGGAGGAACAGGCATCTGATCGAATTTATCGTGTAGGGCAACTCAAGAATGTAACTGTGCATAGGTAACAAAAGATGTCATGCTAAAGATCCAGTATTCTTGAGTGAAAATGAGTAGGAAGGATAAATTAAAATAATTCTTTTTAATTTTTGCTTAACTCTGCATTTGGAAATTAAAAAGAAAACTCATTTATTCAAAGCTACAGCTGCAATACTTGCAAAAGAACTACCTGATTTATTAATTCTTTCTATCATAAGTTGCAAACAGCATCACCACTAGTTAGGAAAAGAGACCTAGCAGCACCTACAGGCATCTACTAAGACAAATAGTAAAATGTTCTTCAAACATATGAATAGAAAAGATTAGCAAGGGATAGATTTAGGCCATAAAGAACAAGCAGGGTAAGGCGCTCCCATGGCAGAAGTACTAAATGAGTACTTTCCCTCTGTTTTTACCAAATAAAAAAATATTTCTCATGTATATGTATCTAGCTTGCACCCTATTCATCTCTTTTTTGAAAGTCTCTCATTTTTCACCTACTGTTTCATCCACCAAAATGCATTTCCAATCAATCTGCTGCAGTTCAACTCTTTTTTTTTTTTTTAAGACCCCTAAAATCTGTCTTTTTTCCTACCTGGAATTTTGATCCTTGACTTATTTTTATCCTTTTCCAACTTTGCTTCTGTCTTTACCAAATTAGAAAATTGGTGAAAATGGCTCAGTTAAAAATGTGGGTGTTCAGCTACTGAGCAGTATAGTGATAGATAAAGAGGAGATACTAAAAAAGTTGGCAGCACCCCAGGTCAAGAAATCCCAAGGCCCAGATGGGATGCATCCTAGATTACTGAGAGAGGTAAAGGACCAAATTGTGGAGCCATTGACAGAAATTTTCCAGGCCCTTCTGAACACCCGATTAATTCCGGAGTACTGGAGAATTGTAAAAACAATGCAGTTGTTCAAAAAAGGAGCAAATGATAACTGGGGAAACTACAGACCTGTGATCGACAGTGGGAATGCTGATGGAAGCTGTAACACAGGATAAACCAAACACAGTTTTTTTAATACTAGACAGTCAACATAGCTCTGTTAAAAATAGGTCATGGCTGACAAATTTGATTGAGCTCTTTAACGAAGTGACACGGGCAGTTGATGAGAGCAGTGCTGTGGATGTTGTATGTTTGGATATTTGATATGGTTTGGGATTGTTGTGTTCTTGGCAGCATGGATTAGAAATTGGCTGAAAGATAGGAAACGGAGCGTAGGTATAAATGGGCATTTCTCAGACCGGAGATGAATTGAAATTTGATGGTCCCCAGGAATTGCTTTTTCTGACTTTTATTTAAATAAATAATTTGGAAATGGGTTGAGGGCAGAATGTCTAAATTTGTGGATGATCCTAAGGTAGGGAGAATAGTGAATTGTGAGGGTGATGCTGAGAGACTTCAGAGGGACATTGATAAGTCAGCCATATGGAGAGACACCTGGCAGATGTATTTCAATGCAGAGAAATGTAAGATAATGCGTTTCAGTCGAAGAACCATGCAGAGACTTTACAACCTCAATGGTACCACTTTGAGGGGAGTACAGGAGAAGGGGTCCTCAGGGTTCATGTGCATAATTCTCTCCAGGCAAGTGAAGCTTCTAGTATCCCTGGGTTTATAAATGGAAGCATAAAAGCTGACTTTGATTTTAAAATTTGTAATAGTAAGCCAGATAAATTAAATGTGGGATGAAGAGCAACTGCAGTGAAGGCGGGCAGCAATAAGGGAACCTTGAACATTCACTTTGCGATTTCAGTTATAATGGAAACATGGTTGTTGTAGTGGGTGTCTTCAGATTCTTCTTTATAGATTGGGAAAAGCAAATTTAGCTCAAGTCGAGTGTTGAATGTTTGTCTTTTTTGCAGTGCATTGAACAGTTTTCCAAAGCAGTATGCTCGAGAACAAGAGGGTAGGCCAAATGTATTTGCTGACGTACGAAGCTGAGATCAAGGTCCCCTTGATATTAGGTTGTTAACTAACAGTGATCGTATAATAATGTTTAATTTTAGCTTTGAAAAGTAATTTGTGTGATTTAATCCAATGGTTCACCATTATTAGAATACTCACAGATAATATGGGCATTTAAAAACAGGCAGCTGATAACCGCGAATTATAAGAAGGAAATGGTAATCAAGCGAAAGAATAATATATGTCTGACATTCCAGGGAAGTTATATGAACCAAAGACTGGAATTTACAAAATTAACATAAGGAAGAAAACCGTATCAAAGAGTAATGCCATTAAACTCTGACAAATCCCTGTGAGTTAATGATTTCCACCTCAGGTTTTTGAAAGAAGCAGATGAGGGAATTGAAAATGCTTTAGCTTTCAAAGCCGGCTCTTTTCTTGAACTGTCCCTTTTAACTCCAATAGTTAAGAAAGGCAACAGGAAATAACTATAGCAGTTGACAGGCAATTAAAAAGACGTGGTTTATATAGACTTCCAGGAGGCATTCTGCAAGATTCCACTTAAGAGAAGCTTATAGAATTGAAGGCAGGTAATTGGATTGGCTAGGAAATTAGTTAGTTGGTAGAAGGCTGAGTAAGAATGATGGATATGTACACCAACTGTTGGAAGTAAACAGTGCTTCTAACATGGATACATTATGGGTACTTTATATTCACTGACTGTGTTAATAACTTGGTCAACACAATAGCTTGGATTTTTCAATAATCAGATAGCTGTTTCTGAAGTGGTAGATGGGAGTTGCACAAGGGGACCCCGTGAAATCCCCATTTGAAGCACACTCCAGTGGAATTGCCCTGAAAATTAAATCGAAGGTTCTACTGGAGAATTTCCCCCCACTTGACACCTACTGGAAGTATCCATTTAAAGAGGAGAATCCAGAGTTGCTATTGCTAAAGTTCATTTCATTTAATACTCTAGAAAAGTTAGATTGCTAAACCTAGTCTTCCTTGTGAGTAACTGATTAAACAGGAACCCCACCTTACCTCAGCCCAAAACAATCTCCTCCCACAATACCTTGACACTAGACCCAGTAGCCCCTCCAATCGAACCCTGACATCCCGCATAATCACCACACCATTGGACTCCACACCAGTGCCTGGGATGCAATCCCTCTAGATCTGACTTCTTCACCTTGCCTGCTCCAGATAGGACTTCCCCACCCTTCCTTTATTCCAGATCTGATCCCACACCAGTGCTCCAGCCCTTACTCTCCCTGGCACCTTTCCCTTCAACGTTCTGGCATCACATTTACCTTGCGCTTACCTTATCTTTTTTGACGACAACTGTCAGTGGTTCTCTGTGATTCTGATCCTTTTAAATTTCAGATGTGGCAGCTGACTACTGTGAACACTGGTACAGTGAGTTGTGTGAACAAGAGCATAGAATTGCAAAATTGTGACAGGTGGATTTCAAAGCAGACCAAAGCATTTTGAACCTAATGGATAGGGATTATTAAGGTTCTTTTTTTTTTTTTGTTTAGAAAGGAAAGGGTATTGAAAAGCCAGACAGTTCAAAGAAATTTGATGAATCTATGTACTTCGCTAAAATGTTATGCTGAAGTAAAACTCGGTCAAAAAAGGTCAAAGGAATTTTGGACTTTTATTTTGCTAGACAGGAGAAAAGGATGGGCTGAAAAACCCAATTCTCCTGCCTTCCCCTCCATAGGCAGTGTAGTTTTAATATTTCGATAAGGCTGGTGTCTGTTTCCAAACCTCCATTAACATGATCAATTTAAAAGTCTTCAGCAGTCCTTATGGAATTTAAACAAGGAGTATTATTTATTTTCACTCACACACACACTTGCCCAGAAAATCTCTCACTATCTCTAAACACACAATAAGCGTGCCAAAAAAGTACAATGAAGTAAAAGGAGCATACTTCTGCTAAATTTTTAAGTCCAGTGAATAAGGTATCTTTCCCAATCAGCAGTTGAATTGGCCAAGATCAGAATCCAGGTGAATTTGTCATTCAAAGTAAGGGACTGTTCAGCAGGTCATGTAATCAGCCCTAATAGTTCCTGAAGCCAGGGTTCCAATTTCGTTGCAAGTAAGCCGAATTTTGTTTCGAATAGGTTGAGTCTTTTCAAAAAAACTCCAAAAACCTCATTTCTTGAAGAGGCCAGGTCTGTCAGCGTTTCTCTACAATTATGATCTTGTTGATTTCTAGTTTGCAGACTGCCTCAAGGCAGGCAGGGTTAGTAATAAAAATTTCAAAATTGGAGTAGTTTAATTACTGACGAATGTCCACTGACACAACCTAGCAGGTAATTTTGATCTTTCACAATAACAAAGTAATTTAAATTGCATGGACAAAAAAAATTGACCTACAATAGAAGGTAGGGGTTTTTAGCACTGCATTACAGGTAACCATTCTCAATAGCATCAGGTGTTATCCATGCAGACCTGGAGTCAGAATCTTGGAGTTTATCGTCCCTGTGTTCTGGAGTAAACCTTCACGCTAGGAGCGGAATTCCACAGAAGATATTGCTTAGCCACATCCATTCCAAATAAACTTTAGAAGTTTCCAAAAGCTTGAATAATCCTGTGGTTGGAAAGAGGAATGATAATTTGACAGTCAGCTTGCAGTTCCTCCTGGTCAGTTTCAAAACAGAATACATACTTGCGTGGGGATCACATTGTCTAGGGGCCTAGAATACAATGGGGAGTAGGTTTCGCTACATCTGTCTAAGCCTTGGTTAGACCACATCAAGAACAAAGTGTACCGTTCAGGATAGCACATGTTGATAAAGGCCTTAGAAGGAGTGCAATGCAAATTTACTAGAGCTCAGGATGTTAAATTATGGTTAATGTTTGCATATGCTTGATTTCTATTCTTGGAAAATGCATTTTTACATGATGATTTGATTTTGAGAAATTTAGAATTTTGAAAAGAATGGATAGAGTAAGGAGAGAGACCTGCTCTGCTGGTTGGAGAGTCTAAGACGTGGGAAGATGACCATAACATCAAAACCAGGCCTTTCAGGAGATAACACATCACCCAATGGCTGGTAGAATTGCGGAATTCTCTCTCTGAAACAGTGGGTTCTACCACAGTTATTTAATTTTAAATCTGAGATCAATAGGTTATTCCCAGCTCAGGAAATTTGGAATACAGAGCCAAGGCAAATGAATAGAGTAGGACATAGATCAGCTATAATGCAGCGCATTATGAGCTCATTGGCTGAATAACGTACTACTGTTACTTCACAAATCATTTCCTCTGAAAATTGGAATATCAGTTACATCACTTTGAACAATTTGTGCCAAAATCATATGTCACTTATGTACCTGCATTCTCATTTTTTTTTAATTTGAAAAGTTAATTTGAGTTCATGTATGGGAAATCCTACTTCAGGTTTTGTTGAAAAGAACAAAGTCTTCCATAATAAGGTGAAAATCTACTATCACTGGAAATACAGAATTCTATATGGGTCAGAATATTCTTGAATTATTGTCCATTTACATTAGTTTCAGGTGGATCAGGTCAAATTACAACTAAAGTTTAAAACTTGTGTTTATCAATTTGTGTAAAATTGTTGTAAGTAACCTAATGTGGTGAAGTTTGGTAGCAAATTAGACATAAGTATGAAAGATGTGGAAAAGAATTTTTATTTCAAAAAAAGAAGTTTTACTAAAGAAGTGTTTCTCTAGGTTTATCTGTGAGGGTACTATTGAGGAGAAAATCTTTGACCTTCAGGAGAAGAAAAAGGATCTAGCAAAAAAGGTTCTATCGGGAACTGGAGGATCCTTTACTAAACTTACGCTGGCTGATCTTCGCATTCTCTTTGGTGTCTGAGCTTCAAAGGAAAAACAGCCCTGCTATATAATTATATTCTAACAAAATACAGTCAAAGCTCAATGTGTTATACATTTGAGAAACGAGCATTTCTGTATTTTGGAAACATATTTTTGTCAAGCATAATATGAATATGCTTGTGTAATTATGGTGCAAGTTATAAAGTCTTTTACTGTATAAGTTTATATTTGGTGTATGAGTTTTTCTTTTGCAAAAATGCTTTCCAATCCCTGAAGCCAAGTATTTGTTACATGATTTCTGTTTCAAAATCAAAGGCTACTTTATTTTTATCAATGATGAGAAAGAGTTCGCAAGGCAAACAAATTTTTTTTTATGATTTCATTTGGTCAGAATGGGTGCTTAACTTGGCATGTATCGTTCTCGAAAGACTGAATGTGAGATGGCAAATTCATTAAAATACTTTGGACAAGACTTTGTGATTCGTATTTTATTTCAATAATTGATCCATTTCATCCTTGCAATATTTTTTCAGCTGCAGAACAATTCTTTAACCTATCGTGGATTTAACAAACTATAGAAATATAGCACTTTTTTAATGTAATGAAATGCCCCAAGGCACTTCACACAAGCATTGTGAAACAAAGTGTGCCACCAAGTCATGTAAGCAGATACTGCGTCAAATCACCGAAATCTAGATCAGAGGTACATTTTGCATTGACTTT